ATGTCACTGACCTAAGACCATAGGGCTGGAAAGTGAGGACAACAGGATTGGGCCAATTTGATCTTACTTCCTATCCCTATCCTTCCATGTTGTCTACAGAGGAGGGAAAGGAAAGTGTCCTGACTCCCACTTCTCCCCCGCTCTCCAGCTCACCTCCTCTGGACTCTCACGCCCTCAGGGAACAGCTACTCCGGATGTGAAGGATTCTGGGTAGAGCCCCTGACCTTCCTCCCCCTGCCCCTGCACCATCCACCTTCCATCACTGAGACGCCCCCTCCCTCGGCCCCATCTCTTTCCTGTGTTTCTTTGCAGCCCTCTGATCCACTTCCAGTCCAGCCAGCCACACCGGCACAGTTCCCTGCCCCTGGAGAGGGGCCTGCTCGCCCCAGGCGTCACTCCTTCCCTGTTGTGAAGCACCCATCACCAATCAAGGCAGTGGAGTGAGACTGCAAGGACTCTGCCCGTCAAGATCCTGAGCACAGCGTAGGCTGGCCCTGGAGTTCCTAGCCTAGGGTTACTGAAGAGGATTCAGGCAGTTTACAAACTGGAATGGAAACAACTACCTTTTAATTTTCACCAGCTTTTAACTGAAATTTAGCATTTTCTTCCGTTTTGAGTGGAACAGTCATATTTTGGTATCTCTGATTTTGTCATCAGCAGAAATCGCAGATATTCTGTTACAGTTGTTGCTTTATCTCAGAATATCGTTTACATTCAGCAGGACATCAAGTCCTAACCTGCCACCAAATCTTATCATTTAACCAATCAACAAAGCAGTTATACTGCTATATACAATATTTGCTTTTTAGTATTTTGGTAATTAAAATTTCATATAATTGGTTTTTGTTGTAAACTGCTTGTCTTATTTTATCCATTTAAAAGGATTTTTCTCAGAGGGGGTCCATGGGCTTTTTCAGATAGCCAAAGAGATCCATGGCACACAAAACCTCTGGCTCAGTGGTTAAGAGGGCAGTCAGATACTGTTGTGTCTGAATCCTGACTCCACCCCTCACCAGCTGAGAACCTGAGAAATGTTTCCTCATTTTTTGAGGCCTTGATTTCCCCAATCTCTAAAGGTGGGATGAGAACCAACTTCACAGGTTTGTTGTGAGGATCAGATGAGATAATCGAGGTAATACACAGAATGCAGCGCCCGCTCAGAGTAAGGGCTCAGTGATGCTGATCCCCATCATTATTCCGAGGCCTCACCTCCCCTGTGCTGTCATACATCTCACATAGTCATCCATTGTTCAGAGTGAGCCCAGAGGAGTGTCTGGGATCATGTCCACCCCAGTGTTTTCAGGGTTCTTCCAGGTACACACCAAGCCTCTTGGATTTCTGCCTCCCAGAAGCCAGGGGTGCATCATTTGCCCCTATCCAAGCCATCGGTCATCAATTAGCAGGAATGACTGATTGCCACTGGGGCCATTGCTCTATCCACAGAGAGAGGTTTTATCTGTGGACCTGGAGTCAGACCTCACTTCCTCTGACAGTCAGATCCTAGTTCAACGCCAGTTTGGGCGAGTGGCTTAGCCTCTCTGCACCACTGTGGATGTAGCCAGGGAACCTCTGCCCCAACCTCCTCACCGGCTGTTGTACAGAAAAAATGAGAGAAAGAGTGTGAAGCCCTTTGAAAATTGTAAAGTGTGATACACGTATTCACCACACACACCTGCCACCCTCCCTCCTCCATGCCTTTGCACGTGTTTTCTACTCAGCCAGGAGTACTTTTCCTGACTCAAATGGCACCTCCTCCAGCAATCCGCCCTGATTATGACATCCAAGAGATGTGATGGAAACGTCCCTTCCTCCCGTCATCCTTTCATCCACATCCATCTCTCAGCACCCTTCACTTCCTCCTCTGCAGCTTCAGGTCTTACCTTCCCTGCCAAGGGAACTTTCTGAGGGTAGAACCACGGTTTAATTTTACTTTGTATAAATAGAGCCTGTTGTCTTATTGGCTCCTACCTAAATATACTAAAAACTCATGAAAAAAAATTTTTCAAGCTGTTATAGACAATTCCTGCCCTACAAGGGGTTGATAAGAAGATAATAAATAAAAACATGGAACAGCTCAGGTGCAAAGCATTATCCAAACACCATACTCTGAGCTCTGAAGAAAGATCAAGCAGTAAACCCTGTGGCAGGAGTTGGGGGTATGACAGATCAAGGGAGGCTTCCTGAAGGAGAGGAGTGTTGCCAAGAGACAGGTAGAAGACAGGACTGATGACGTGCATGAGGCAGGTGGGACAGGTGGAGAACCAAGCATGGAGAATGACAACGAGGGAACAGGAGTGAGAGTA